CTTCAGCTACGTTATTCACGTAGCTGAAGTTGCATACCTTAGTTCGATTTGGGGTGTTAGTGTAGACCAAGCCTTGGACAAGAAAAAGCCATGGATAAGGCTGTGAGTTTGTCATGGAGGTTCACGGAAGTCATGGATTCCGTGATTTTCTGGGACCTCCATGACTCCTGTAGTGGCCGGCGCGGCTGGCCCTGGGGGCTGCCTGAGCAGCTTGGGTGGCCCCCCGGCCAGCTGCTGCTGGGGCAGTCTCAGGCCACCGCGCCCCCCTCACCAGCAGGAGTTTGGGTGTGAGAGGGGGCTCAGGGCTGGGACGTGGGACGGGGTGAGGGCTCTGGGCAGCACTTACTTAGAGGGGCTCCCCGGAAGTGGCGACATCCCTCTTTCTCAGCTCTTAGGCGAGGCGTGGCCAGGCAGCTCTGCACGCTGCCTCTGCCTGCAGGCATCGCCTCCGTAGCTCCCATTGGCTGTAGTTACTGGCCAAAGGGAGCTGCACAGCTGGCGCTCTGGGCGGAGGCAGTGCACAAGAGCTACCTGGCCACGCCTCCGCCTAAATGCTGAGGGAGAGGGATGTTGCCACTTCTGGGGAGGCACAGAGCAAGGTAGGAAGCCTGCCAGCCCCATCCCCCTCCCCCAGTGGTGGTCCCGGGCCATGCGCTGCCACCCCCATTCCCCCAGCGCCAGCAGGGGGTCCAGGGCCGCCCTCTCCAGCACCTGCAGCACCCCCAGGCAACCTCCCGCCCAAGATTTAGTCAGGGATATATAGTACAAGTTATAGACACATCCCGGGCTGTGAATTTTTGTTTACTGCCCGTGACCTGTCCATGACTTTTACTAAAAATACCCGTGACTAAAACATAGTCTTAGCCATGGATAATACAGTGTATGGAACAATCCTGCATTAGCCATGCTGGGGATTGAGAAGATGTGATCCAATACAATACATCTTTTCCTTATCTAATTTTTAAGATATTGTATTGTACCTCATGGTTGTTTGTGAAAGGCTTAGGAATAAGATGGACACCAATCTGAGCAATTTAGAGGATAAATCAAAGAAAAACAAGGCTCACCATTTGTCTGTGATGTTGTTTCCACTATGTAGGAAGTGGTGAAATCTGGGGACACTAATCATAAGAAATGAGGAAACTCTCAGACATGATTGAAACTGTAGGTCATCTTAGGGCTGGGATCTCATTGAATATCACAATGAAGTCAAAAAAGCCTGAGCCATATTTGGATAGGAGACCTCTGAGGGAGCTCATGAGCAAAGGTTGTAGAATTGGGCTTTCTGTGTTTCAACACTTACCCTCCCCACAGACGGGTTGCCAGGATTCTTTCATTAATGTTTATACAGATCTTTGAGGACTTTAAGGTGAACATTTTCCAAAGTGGCTGCTGGTTTTGGATATTGGGTTTTAGAAGCCCTGCAGGAGATACCCAAAAATAGAGGTTCCCAAAACAAGTGGCCACTTTTGAGAATTTGGCTGCAATTGCTGTCTGCTGTTCTGTTCAGTGTCTAAAGCTCTTTGGGTGCTATATATAAAATATGATCTGAAAGTGTGGTTTTACTCTGAAAAGTGACTGTGTAAAAATGGCTGTTCCCTATGTATATTCTGAGTTCTACTTGCTGACTTCAGTGACTAACAGCCAGCCAAGTGGTTCTGCTTCTTTTTACTCCTGTTAGCCCTGAAATGTGAACAGGGGTCAGAGAGAGGGAGCTGGATTCCACTCATCAGTAGAATCGATTATCAAGTTTCATTCAGTTGCACCTGGGCAAGCCCACTGAAGATAAAGAAGTTGTCTTAGTTGTCACTCAGGATAAAAACTGGCCTGCAGAACCTGTATCAACAGGTGATGGTGCATGATCAAGAAAGAACCCTGCTTGACTGCAAACCCAGGCTGAGAAAAGAACTTTTTAACCTGTAAATGGAGACCATTTGATCTGGAGTCACTAAGACATTGACCATGGAGCCCCAAGGTGCCGTTTATTTACAACCACTTTTCAGAGTAGAAATGCATTTTCAGCATGTTAATTACACAAGATTTTAAAAGAGCTCAGTAAAGGCTCCTAGCACCAGAGCCACATTAGTGGTAGGCATGGGAGGAGGTGCACTGCAAGAGTGAAGGCTGGAGATATTATGCTAGCACTGGGCAGGAGCAGCCCTAATGCCTCCTCGAACACCCTTACCAGTCACACTTCCTAGATCTTGAAAGAGGCTATGGCTAGCCCTTCCTTTAGAGCTATTGTCCCTTTGCACATGAGCACAAAGCTGTGCCTCATCCTACACACTCCTCTGAGCCTATCACTTGTACATAAGGAGTTGTGGGTCTGTGCACCCTCCCTGTCCCATTCCAGATCAACCATACCTTATAATGGATTATTAAGGTATTAGAAGGGGGACTCACCAGTAGGACTCGCTGTTGTGTCATCACTGTAAGAAGTGACCATATCTAGGGACAACAACCATACATAATAATTAAACATATTTCATTACACAGTTTGGGGCAATTAATTAATTCCTGTCAATTCTAATCCACACAGCAAGTGGCCTGGCTCTGCAAGACCCCAGTGCCCTATTGTGTCTGAAGGACCCACAGTCTGAGAAGTCCTCTGTCCAGAGAGCCATTGATCACTTGAGGGCTTTTTCCTTGTCCCCACAAATGGCTACATGCCCCCATGTCCATGAGATGTTGAGATCTGCAGAATATTTCTGCAGTTGCACCCTGATATCCTATGGGTTCCCTGCAATAGTGGGAGAAATAATCAGTTTCTATCTGTAGTCTTCCTCACTTAGAAAAGAAAGAGGACTCAGCTACTGATGATGAATAATTCAAAGAGCTTCCCCTCCCCCACTGGCTGGGTTACAGGTGATTGGGGTCTGAGACAGTGGCTGGGGGAATGGAGATTGAAACAGTGTTCTTGGGGCGGAGGCTGTGCTACTGCCAGAGGGCTCTGCCTGCATTGTTTGTTGGATGTGTAATCATTAGAGAATATTGGGATGCAAGCCATATCCAAATATCACCAATTTTTGGATATTATTGCCAAGTGGTCCTTTAGTAATCCTCCTAGGACTTCCTAGCAGAAACAGTCACACAAGAAGAAATGAAGAATTTTTTCATCTGCTAATAGCTGCTTGGCTATTGGTAGCCTCTCACTGGAAAAAAAAAAAAGCCAACCATAGAGGAATGGTTCAAAAAAGTATGGGAGGATGTGGTTATGGAAACATTAACACACCAATTACATATCCAGCAAAATACACAAGAGGACAGATAGATATTTAAATATTTGGTTACTTTTTATTCAATACTCAAAAGCCCATTCACCTGCAAAAAAACAAAACAAAACAAAACAAAACAGATCTTTCTTTCTTTCTTTCTTTCTTTCTTTCTTTCTTTCATCTACATGGCTAGGATTTGTAAACTTCTTAATGGTTCCCCCCCCCAAAATGTGTTGGATTTTTAGACCATGGGGCCTCACCTCATCTCTTCATATATCCCTGATGTCTCTTTGAAGGCTACCCTGCTTCCCTCCTTGCTCTCACTGTAACCCCACAATAGAGTTGTAGGAGCAGCTCATATGAACAGGGCTGCAGACTCAGGCCAACAAGCTTGATTTCTCTGCTACCATGGCAGAACTCAGCCTTAGGTGACACCAACTGACAACCCCCCTCAACAAACACACACTCTCAGCAGCAGAGAATCCATCTCATTTTAGGAAATGTAATACACATCAGTCAACATAGGTAGGTTGTTATGATTAAACAGCATGTATTTTTTGAAAATGTATGTGATAGAGAATTTAGGAATCATTTTAAAAATGAAGGTAATGAGGGGAAAATTGGATTAGTTATAGCTAAACTACTGTGTCCCTCCTAGGGAACAGCAAATGGGGCCCTTAAAATAAGAGTTGTGGTCTATTGGCCGAGGCACTAGAATAGCAGTCAGAACACCTGGATTCTATTCCTGAGTTGATCACAAATGGACTATGCCTTAACCCCATTAAACCTCAGTTTACCTCTCTGTATAATAGGGACAATTACTTCCCTACCTTTGTAAATTGCTTTGAGAGATAGGTTTATAAAGTGCCAGGTATTGTTGTTAAGTACTAGTGACTGGCACTTTAAATTAGTGGTTTTGTTACTAAATTTCTTAGCCTCCAGAGTATGCATTACAAAGAGGGATCTTTCCCTATGTGATCACACAGTCTCAGTCAAGGTCACATATCATTTAATTTGGCCATGCAGGGGTTAACAGATTCCCTAGATATGCAAAAATAACTTGTCCACAGTTCATACCAAATTATGAGTCAGCAGGAAAGCTACCGTAAAAAAGGGCCTATTATATTGAGCAATACAATAGTTGGGAAACAATATACAAACTGTACACCTTTTTCTGATTCTCTCCATGCCTGTTTCTCCCATTCGCTTTCTTTTTGTGTCCTTTCTCTTTTTGTCTGTCTTTCATGTGTCTCTCCCCCCATCTCTCTCTTTGTGTGTGTGTGTGTGTCTTTATGCCCTTTATATATTTACACAAACACTTCTTCTCTCTGGATCTCTGTCTTTCCCTATGAATTGTGTGTGTATGTGTGTATACACAAGTGCATTTTATATCACTGTCCATTTCTGATTTGGTGGTAGGCTGACACCTATTGAATAGTCAAACATCTGCCTGGGTGAGTGTCTCTATCTGTCTCTCCCTCTGCGTGTCCATCTCTCTACCCCTCTCTGTTTATAAAGCATAAGAGTTACCTGGTATTTCTCTTGGGAAAGCCAGCACCAAAGCTAACAAGGTCGAGGTGAACAGGAACTTCTTCAGCATGGTTAGCAACTTGTGGGAAGTAAAAGCAACAGCAACGGATGAGAGCCAAAGACTGCAGCTAGTATGCAGTTGAGGAGATGTTCTGTCTCTACTTAAAACCTCTGGCCTCGGCAGGTAGCATCATTCCTGTTGGTCAGGGCCCCTCCCCTCCCAATATCAGGAAAGAACCTTAGAGGGAAGTTGAGGGTGGAGGGTCAGCGGGGTATGATAATTGCAGCTTGATGGCAGTAGCATGGGGGAGGGTAACAAAGGATGAGTCAAGGGAGTTCAAGGGAGCCATGCTGTTAAGCACCTTACTCAGTTTGCCTGTGGCAGGAGTGGCTCCTGAAACCACATTCCCACATTTTATGTGCACAGCAGGCAGTGGAAATTCCTGTTTTTCTCCTCAGTCACTGGTTTGCAAATGCAAAGTGGATCCAAGTTAAGTTGGGGGGAGGGTCACTCACTTACATCTTCTGCATTATTATCCCCTTAAGAATTTGCATTCCACCTCTGGGAAAAGGAATGGGGGCACTTTCTGAAATGGAGGATTCTTTAGCTCACACAGGAAAAAACAGAACTGAAGCCCATTAAGGACAGGAATTGGGATACCCCGGGCTGTAGGCTCTTCTGACACTAAGGCCAAAATTTTCAGAAGTGACCATTCATCTTCGATACTTCAATTTTTGGGCACCCCAAAATGACATACCTCAAGTGAGATGCCACTTCTGAAAATTTTGGCCAAACAATTTTAGGCCTAGAACCTGCACTCATTGAATTCAATAGTAAAACTCCTGTTGATTCCACTGGGAACAGGTCATTAAAGTGAAATTCTACTCTTTAAAATTGGCCCCATCTTACTCAGCAGATTTACTCCCTTTGCAGAGTTTGTCTACACTACAGTGCTGCAGTTGCACTGCTGTAGCACTTAGTGAGGATGCTGCTATGCCGATAGGAGAGCTTCTCCTTCTCGTACTACCACTGGCAGTAGCTAGGTCCAGGGGAGAAGCCCCCTCCATCGACATAGTGCTGTCTGTACAGGGAGTTAGGTCAGTATAACTGCATCTCTCAATGTTATACCCACATAAGCTTGTAGTGTAGTCCAGGGCCTAATTAGACTCAGAGCAGCTGACTTTAGTGAAAAGAATAAGATTTTTCAGTTAATTGCTCCTGTTCACTCTGCAGAGCCATCACAACTCAAAGAAGGGAGCTGGGCCCAGATCCCCAAAAGTCTTTAGGTGACTCAATCCTATTGATTTCCATGGGAATTAGGAGTCTATATACTTTTGAGGATCTGAGCCCTGGAGCCTATTCCTTCCTGTGCATCAGCTACACTGTAGTTTGCTAAGTTCCTGTGCAAAGTCATAGGCTGTGTCTACAGTGGGGAATTTTACTATGGTTACCATTCTTGCTAATATTGTTTCTAACTTTGACAAAACTTGTATTTCTTGTATGCCTGTTCTCGGGCTAAACCATGCATCCCATATCTGGTGGGTAACCAATGTGTAGACACTTGCAGGACAGTTTGTATCTGTTTTGCAGGAAGCAGAGTGGGAGCACAGAACTTGTTAATCACAGATACAAAAGTCCCACAGTCCTCCTTCAAACTTTGAAAAAGTTCTGTTTGTTTGGGGTCGTCAGACCAAAACTAGGAGGGAAAGGGACATAAGTCAATACTTATTGTGTCCAAACCACTTACAAAATATTGGACTGGTTTAAACATGAAGGAGGGTGTGGAACTATTTAGGGTGCCAGAAAGGGGGTATAAATAGGAATGAATGGGTTGAATGTGAAAGAAGGGGAACATGTAAGTCCATTTCCTAATAGTGTGGATCTTTTACACTGTGATCTAATCTCCCAAGGAGAGTGGTGAACACTTGAATGATTTTGATCTGGTCAGGTAAGAATGTTGAAGAACAGGCTGTAATGAATAAAAGTTGCCCATGTGTATTATAAAGATTCTATGCTGCAGTGAATAATTTTGAAGAAACAAAAGCTTAATTAACTTAAGATTTATAGTTCTAATGATCCACTTTACAGGTGTGCTCATTTCATTATTAGAATTTATTTTATTTAAACTGAGAGAGTTACAAAAAAGGCATGTAGAGACACTGACACGAAGAACATCGAGTAGGACCATTTTCATTTAAGTTCACAATATAGAACAAAACGTATGATACTCTATGAAATGATCTGTCCAGTCCAAGCCCAATTCCATGTTTGAAACTGACCAAAGGTGGATCCCAGCAGTCCTGGATTTACCTAGTTTCAGAAGAGGACAGTAACCAATTCCAGATCTTGGTGACTGTAACCAAGGAGTAACAACCAGTAGCTGCAGGGGAGGGAGACAAAGAAAGAGACACAGCGAGAGGTGGGGGGATCTCATAAAATATTTCCATTTTCACTTTGCTTTCACTCAGCTGTGTGTTTTGTTATGGCATCCTGGATGTTCTCTGATCACATGGATGCTATGTCCAGTGCACTCTTGCATATACTTGAAGTTTTGTCATCATATTTGGTTTCAGTGCTCTATGCATGTATAGGGGGTGAGATTTTTACTTCTTGCCCTTAGTTATAGTGGACTGAGAAAAATAGTTTTTTCTGCCTAGAACAATACAAAGATTCATTCATCATTGCATTATCACTCCAGTCTCACTTCCTCTTGGGGAATCTTCTTAAGTAGTGAATTAGTGGTCTGATCCACCAGCCCTTACTAATGTGAGTAGCCCTATTGAAGTCAATGCAGTTACTCATATGGTTAAGAATTGCAGGATTGGGTTCTATGGTTGCAATCATCTTTAGATCCATTTTAAGTATAAACTCAAAGGGTGGCAAATCAGGGTTTCAATACAGATAGGAAGCCACCATCTCCCTGCTCAGATGACACTTAGACACAGGACGTGGTTTTGAATCAGTTGTTTACTCCATGAAATGATTGTTGATAATAACACTTTGCATCTCTCTAGTGTCTTTCTTCAGAGGATGCAAGAACATTACAAACATTTATTAAGTTTCCCAACACCCTTTATGATGTCACTGTAATATAGTCGTTCTGCAGATGGGCTGAACTGAGACATGGTGCAGTATTGCCAACCCCAAACGTTCAAAAATTATGAGTCAGACTCACTACAAACCATGAGATTGGCTTTAAAATCATGGGATTATGTAAAAATAATAGATGTGGTGTACTTTTTATCTGCCTTTGGCTTTTTGAGTCTGTAGGGTGCACTGGAGTCACACTTTGACGCTTTCTTCACAGCCACTAGAAACTTACTCTACAGGGCTAGAAACTTACTTTTTCTTTAAGAATGAAGGCTGAAATCATCACATATCCACTTGACTCCAGGAGTTGGGACTTTAAGGAAAGTAAGAATTATCATGAGACTCATGACAAAACCATGAGAGTTGGCAACACTGATACCCAGCAGTTCAGAGGCAAAGCTGGGAATAGGAAAATATGTTGGATTTGATTGCGTTTTGCTCTGTGGTGTATATGGTGTCCAGGGAAGATCCTTTCTGTATTCCAGGGCAGGTCTTTGGGGCAACTGAAAACAAGCCTGCCTCCACATAATTTACACAGGGTTTTACAATGGGCCCAGAGTATACCTGTACATTTCTGGTCCAGTCCAGTTGTGCTCAGCATAGGGGCAGGACGGCTGGGGGTGGGGAGCAGGAGTTTCAGCAGCAAAGCTGCCTTAGTGCCATTTGTTCATTCCTCTGACCCTGGCACCAGCCTCAGCATAAGTAAGACTTGATCTACTGGGAAAATTAGTTGTGTTAGAAAAAGTTTTAATTGACACATTGTAATTAATAAGCTAACGTGCTAAGTGGTGATTAAAACTGTGCTAATTAAAACATGTTAGATGCTAACACATATTAAGCAAACACTTTTGTCTTAAACAGTTTAAACAGTGCCATAGTGAGGAAGCAAGCCTGCACCACGCCTGGTCTACACCTAAAAAATTGGAACAACCTAGCTACGGTCACTCTGGGCTGTGAAAAATTTCACTCAAACTATCAGCCAAGCCAGTCATCTGGGAGGATCTTTCTTTATTCAAACCAATTTGCCCAACCCTTCTGAAAACCTGTAGATGGATGAACCACAAACAACTAACAAAGAGCTCCAGCAGGAATTGATACTCCTGGAGGGTAACAGATACCATTCTCACGGAGCATAACATCACAGCTGCAGAGGCCTGAGAGAAAAGGAGCCATCTGAAGAGCAGACAGTTGAGATGGGGAATTAATGGTTACTTTGTGGGCACTTTACATCAGCAGAAAATAAGCCCAACATAAGGGGCCTCCCCCACACGTGGATTGCCACTCCCTCATTCCAGTCCTAGACAGTAACTGTCCATCCCCCTGCAAGGGAGAGTGCTGGGGCAGGCCACAGGAGGGGCGTTTTACAGTCTGGCTAATAATCTGTAATGTATTTATCCTCACAACACCACCCCTGCAAGGTGGGGAAGTGCTATGTTTTTTTACAGATGGGGAACTGAGGCCCAGACCCTCAAAGGCATTTAGACTTCCATTTCACTGGCCGTTAGGAGCCTAAATATCTTTGGTTGGGTCTGGGCCTCAGTGACTTGCCCAAAGTCACACAGCAAGTTTGTGGCAACCTGGGTCTTCCAAGTCCCAAGCTAACACCCTAACCACTGGGCCATGCTTCCTGTCTTTAGCCTTAGGCCTGCTCTAACCAGTGCCAGGAGGCAACCCAAACCCCCCAGCAGCCCCAGGACATGAGGGAAGCAAGCTGCCCCTTCAGCTGTCTTGCCAGGCTCAGCATCAGCACAGAGATGAATTGAAAGGAGCGTGTGTGGTGGGGGGGGGGGGGTTTAGGTGAGGAGTGCCTATGTGCCAGGCCCAGTGCCAATGTGAACATTGCAAATAACCCTACTGCGCGGTAGCCCAGGATAGGAAGATCCTAGTGGTCTCAGCAGAATTAAGAAGACAGTATAATACATGACAATTGAACTGGGGAGGGGGGAATAGGAGCACAGGAGTAGGGTGGATCTGTAGACAAGAAGGGAAAATGGGGAGTGGAGAAAAAACAAAATCAACCTTCATTGCCTCTTTCCACTAATTTATTCAGAATCAGTATCACTGGAATTCTCTGTAACAACAATACAGAAGAGTTAAACCCCTGGGATTTATCTTATAATAATATATGGAGATATACCT